TAATAATATATATATATGTGTGTGTGTGTGTGTGTGTGTGTGTGTGTGTGTGTGTGTGTGTGTGTGTGTGTGTGTGTGTGTGTGTGTGTGCGCATGCGTGCCATACATGCGAATATTTTACATTATTCGTACACCAATAGCGTTCTTACCCTCCAGTGCAGTACAGACCGATGTGCACCAAAGTGAAGAGACCAATGAAACAGTAGTGGTACACCGTCGCCGATGCCCAGTCAATATCACTCTCAGGCCAGTCTGTGGTGCAAAAAGTGGACTGGAGTTTAGGGATTATAATCGAAATACATTTACATTGTACTAAAAAATGTATTAGCTAAGGATTGGAATAAGGTGCATGAGGTAAATAAAGACGCTAATCGATTGTCCAGACGTAAAAGTGCGGAAGACTGATGTGCCAATAGCACTCAGTTACGGTCAAGCGATGCCTGCGCTTTTGTCTCTCAGTTCCCGTCTGCGGTCAAGCGGACGGGGCGATGGGGATCAATAGAGAGAGCTCATAAATATATTGCGACACGCAAACAAATGCGGGAGACTGCGCTGGAGAGAGCGGAATGATAGACGGCCGTCAGGCAACCAACTACCCACAGAACCACGAACAGGTAAATAGGTGTATGTTAAAGCTATGATGTCCCAAGAATGGTATACTGGCAAACACCCTCAAGATGACGCCGTACAGGAGTTGGGACGCGTCTACATATATATCGATATATATATATATATATATATATATAACTCAGAACATGCACAGCCTGAAATTCGTACACATTTACAACCCCAAAACGCACACAGCTCCGTTTTTCCAATATTGAAATACTAAGAAGGTTCACAGCCTAACTATATGACGCATATAAACGGATACCCTGTCCAGAGCAATGGCTTGCTATAAAGTGGAAAGTCAAACGGTTTAGACTCTGGTGATATCATAACATACCCAAACCATCAAATGCGGAGGGCGTTGAGATATCAGGCATTGCTGGGAGTGTGAAGTTATTTTCGCTAGCCAACTGCGACACCGTTGTGGATATTGTCTCCTTTATATCCGCTACGGTTAAATAAGAATTGATAAGAAAGTAGGGCATATATAT